AGCCAGGCATGGTGGCACATGCCTGTAGTCCCAGCTACTCGGGAGGCTGAGGCAGGAGGATCGCTTGAGCCCAGGAGTTTTGCAGTGAGCTATAATGACACCACTGCACTCTAGCCCAGGCAACAGAGCGAGACACTGTCTCCAAATAAATAAATAAATAGAACACAATAAAATGCCACAAATCCTTTTATTAAAAGGGGTGCAGCAGAGAAAGATGAAGTTTTTCCTGACTCCTTTGGTGCTTAAAAAAAAGAACAATCTTGAAATCAAAAGGCTGCAGTTTCCCCACCCCTGGTGGCACTCTGATGTCAAACCAGCCTGGGTTGAGTTTCAGCTGTGGCCCAGGGCTCTGCATACAGCAGGTGCCAACTGGTACTGGAAAAGGGGCTTTCTGAGGGCAGGCCTTAAATTAAGGTAAATTTCACACACAATAAAATTAACTAATTTAGCCAGGCATGGTGGCGAGTGCCTGTAGTCCCAGCTACTTGGGAGGCTGAGGCAGGAGGATCGCCTGAGTCCAGGAGTTCGTGACCAGCCTGAACAACATAATGAGACTTTGTCTCAAAAAAGAAAGAAACTGGTTATGGAGAAATAAACTTCAGGTATGTATGTACAGAGGAATCATCTTCAGCAGTGAAAATGAAGGAACATGATATGGAGGAGAGATGATAGTTACGAAGATGCATACATGATGATACCATGTATGTTAAGTTTAAAACACACAGAACAATTCTATGTATCTTTTTAAAAAAAAAATCTTCCCATGCTCAAACTTAAAGAGCTTCTACAGTATTGCATAGCTGCATAGTATTATGGGATTGTGCCTAGGGAGTCTGGAAAATAAGAATAAATCAGTGTGGCTGGAGGGAGTGTGAAAAGGGGAGAGGGTCTGGGGGGACGAGGATTGAGGAGGTGATGGGGGCAGGTCGTGCAGGGCTTGGTGGGCCTTGAGAAGGACTTTGGCTTTTGTCTCGACGGCGATGGGAGCCATGGAGGGTTCTGAGCAGAGGGGAGGGACGTGACCCGACTCAGGTGCTCACAGGCGCCCTCTGGCCGCTGCTGGAGGAATAGAATGTGGGGGGCGAGGGCAGGAGCCGGCAGACCTGGGAGGAGGAGACTGCACTGAGCCAGGAGAGGGTGAGAAGCGGCGGATTGCGGGTAGATTCTGAAGTGGAGCAAACTTGCTGTCATATGCTGGTGTGTTCATCTTGGAAAGAAAAAGAAAAAAAAAACTTGCTGTCATAAGACTGGGGCGGAGGGGAGGAGTCAGGAAGAGAGAGGTCAAGGATACTACGAAGTTTGGAGCCTGAGCACCTGGCAGGACGGGGCTGCCGTTAACTGGGACTAGAGGACAGCGGAAGGACATGCTGGGGGACTGCCGGCAGCTAGGGCGGAGCGGGGGCGCTGACGGGGAGGCACCCACGCGCCTCCGGGGGGACGTCTGCGAGGCAGGTGCTCTGGGCACCGCCGCCGCGCAGTCCCGGGAGCCGCCGCCAGAGGGCGAGCGCGTCCCACCGCTCGACGGAGGGAAGGGCGCGGGAAGGGCCGGCCCGGCAGCTTCTCACGGCCCGCGGCGGCCTCGCAGCTCCTCACCTGGGTGTGATATGGGGGTCGCCGAGGTGCCAGGACCCGGCCAGGATCCCCCACCCCCAGGCGGCGCCTCGGGGGCCCCAAAGCGTGGGACGCGGCTCCCACCCACTTTATGTACTTCCAGCCCTCCAGCCTCCACCCCCCACCTGGCTGTTCCCACCGCCTCCACCACCAACTCAGGTGCCTGCAAACATGTCACTTCCTCCGAGAGGCCTTCCCTGACCACCCTGGAGACAGGAGCCTCGGCCCCGCCCCCCATGTGAGGCACACCCCATTTTCATACCTTCTCAACACAAGGCTGTGAAATCAACTTAATTGTCTTTTATTGTCTGTTTTCTGCACAATGTAAAATCCAAAGCAAGGACTCACTTTCTGGCCTATATTAGATGTTAAAGAAAAAAAAACAACGGCAGCAATAACCTTGTTTCTTTGTTTTAATTGAGACAGGGTCTTGCTGTCACCCTGGCTGGAGTGTGAGCATAGCTTGTTGCAGCTTCCAACTCCTGGGCTCAAGTGATCCTCCTGCCTCGGCCTCCCAAGTAGCTGGGACTACAGGGTCTCACTATGTTTCCAAGGCTGGTCTTGAACTCCTGGGCTCAAGCGATCTTTCTGCCTAGGCCTTCCAAAGTGCTAGGATTACAGGCGCGAGCCACCTCACCTGTAACGTTAATCGTAGTGATTCATGGTGCTACTGCGCATGAGCCTGTTTTAAGCTCCTTACATAAATTATGTCCTTGAGTCCTCAGAACAACCCTTTAAGATAAGAACTGAGGAAGCCGAGGCCCAGAGTGGTTAAGGGACTTGCCTGAGGTTGCACAGCCAGGAAGTTGCAATGCTGGGTTGGAAATCCAAGAAGCCCAGCTGCGCAGTGTGATTTTGCTAAACAACTGAATGGAGGCCCAGGGCTGGAAAAGCAGCCACCCAAGGCTTCAGGCATTGTGCCCCTGTCCCCAGACCTGTCTTTACTGGTCGCCACACCTGACACACCACAGGCCCAGCCCCCCTGTCCCCCACTGGGCTGGGAGGAGGTGTGGGAACCCAACAGGTTTGGGTTTACTTTTTTCTCCCCCGCTGTTGGTTTACAGAGGCCCTGCCCAGGCTGCGCAGGTGGGGGCAAGTGATTAAAAGCCAGTCCGGAGCGCCCAGACTCCACTCACCAGACAGCAGGGTCAACTGCCCGGGACCCTGAGCCCAGTCCCAGACTGACAGACAGACACACGGACAGGCAGATGCTCCTTGGCCGGCTAGCCGCTCTCCTGAGCCTGCTCAGTGGGGTCCCCCTGCCTATGGGCTCCGGGGGGCCTGGACTCCAGCCCTGGGCTGCAGCCAATCAGACCTGGGCTCTGGATCGGGGTGCTCTGGCCCCCCAGGTGCCGGCCCCTGCCCTTGGCAGCTGGAAGGCCTTCTTGGGTCTGCAGAAAGCCAGGCGGCAGGACACAGACACCCTGCAGCGCAGGCAGGAAGTGGCCACTGCCCTGTCTCTGCCGCTGGACCCGCAGGAAGCGACCCAGGAGATGTGTAAGGCTGTGCCCTTCGTTCAGGTGAGCGGTGGCTATGGGAGAAGGAGAGGGCTGGGTCTCAGCGCTGGTAGAGAGCACAGATCTGAGTTCAAGTTCTGTATCCTCCACCTAAATGTCTCTGAGCCTCAGTTTCCGCCCTTGTAAAATAGGGCATAAGCCTCTCCCATTGGGGTGGGCGCAGTTGCCTCCATCCTAGTCTTCTGGCTTCTGCTATCACCACCCTCCCTCCCCAAGTCTATTTTTCCATTCAGCAGCCAGAGGGCGCCTGTGAACACCCAAGTTGGGTCACATCTCTCCTCCCTTCAGAACCCTCCATGGCTCCCACCTCACTCAGAATAAAAGCCCAAGTCCTCCTCATAGCCCACAAGGTCCTGCCCTCTCAGACCCTGTTTCCTCCCTGATTTCACCTCCTCCCGCTCTTTCCCTCACTTACTTCACCCCTAACACACCAGCCTCCCTTTCCTCAGACATGCCAACTTTCTACCCACCCCAGGACCTTTGCACCGGCCGTGCCCTGTGCCTCAAGTGCTCTTCTTCCAGCCAGACACTTCCTTCAGATTTTTACTCAAATGTCATTTGTTTAAAAATGTGGGCTGGGCATGATGGTTCATGCCTGTAATCCTAGCACTTTGGGAGGCTGAGAGAGGAGGATCGGTTGAGGCCAGGGGTTCCAGACCAGGTGTATCTGAGTTCAAATCCTGCCTTCATTGCTGATTTCTGGGTGACTGAGGGTGGGTCAGTCACCTTCCCTTCTCTGGGTCTCAAATGGAGTTAATAATAGTGGAAGATTCACGAAAAGTGTTTGAGACCCTTCCCGGCAGGGCCAGGGCATCAGTTCCTAAGACCCCTTGGCTCAATCTTTGCTCAGCAAAACTTCACTGAATCCGGTTTTTGTTTTTTTGTTTTTGTGGAGACAGAGTCTTGCTCTGCCACCCAGGCTTGCAATCATGTCATAGCTCGCTGCAGCCTCCAACTCTGGACTCAAGTGATCCTCCTGCCTCAGCCTCCCCTCCCAAGTAGCTGGGACTACAGGTGCACACCACCATGCCTGGCTAATTTTTAAAATATTTTTGCAGAGATGGGGTCTCGATATGTTGCCCAGGCTGGTCTTGAACTCCTGGCTGCAAGTCATCCTCCTGCCTTAGGACTCCCAAAGTGCTGGGATTATAGGAGTGAGCCTTTGTGTCTGGACAGAGCTAACATTTATTGAGCACCAACCGTGTGCCAGGCAATGTGCTCCTGCAATACTGCTCTCCCTCAGCCTTAGGGGTGGTGGCGGTTTCCTACTGGTGCCAGTCCTTAGGCTACCTTATCACCACTTCTTGCTTGGTGTTTCAGCCCTGCTCTTCCCTGGGTGGCAAATTCCCTGAATTAATCCTCTCACATGAAAGGCCTGGAGTGATTTGTTCTTTTCCTAGTTGAACTTCAGTTGATTTTACAGGTGAGGAAACAGAGGTCCAGAGAGGTTGAGTAATTTGCCCCAGGCCACACAGCCAAGAGATGGCAGAGTCAGGATTCGAACCCAAGCAGCCCAGCTCCAGCATCTATGCCTCTCAAGGTGGGGTGGATGGAAGTGGGCAGTCTATTCTCAACACTCTGGCCCCAGATTCCACGGCCCTGACCTGTGTCCCTGCCTCTGGCCGCAGGTTCTCTCCCGACCTGGCTGCACGGCCGCCCGCCTCCGCAATCACCTCTGCTTTGGCCGCTGTTCCTCCCTCTACGTCCCCAGCTCGGACGCCACCCCGATAGTCCTCTGCAACAGCTGTGGGCCCTCCCGCAAGCGCTGGGCACCTGTGGTCCTGTGGTGTCGCACCAGCAGCCCAGCCACCCGTCGGCGGGTGAAGAGATCCACCATGCTGGTCGAGGGCTGTCAGTGCAGCCCGAAGGCGTGAGCCGTGCATCGCAGATGGGCACCTTGGAGAGACGGGGAGAGACGGGGGGCGACGCACCAAGAAAGACACCACCTGAGTGCTGTTCACCGAGTCAAGGGACCAGGGACACGGGGATAAGTAGACAGGTCCCCAGCGTCCCCACCCTGCTCCCAGGCATAGCAAACACAGCCCCGGTCATGGGGTTGGACCACTAATAGTTATAGAGCTCTCTTATTAACCACTTACTGTTTGCCAGGCCCTGTGCTCAGCTTTGGATGGGCACTAACTTGTGTAATCCTCGCAGCAGCCCAAGGAGACAGTAGATAACATCACCCCATTTTACAGATGAGGAAACCGAGGCCCAGAGAGGCAGAGTCACCCGCCCAGGATCACACAGCAGCAAGTGGCACCAAGGATTCAAATTCAAGGCAGGGCGGTACCCACTCTTAGCCACTAGGCTGAACTGCCTCTCACATAATGAGGCACAGACACACTCCCAGCCACAGGGAGGACAGATGGCCCTGCCCAGACCAGGAGACACAGCGATGACCCCGTCCTAGGGACGCCAAAAACCCAAAGCAGGCAAGCAGACGCAGCTGCTGGGGAAAACCTGGGGTCCCCAAGACAGAGGCAGGCCCCACGCGTTCCCAGCTCCTCTTGCCTTGGCCGTGGCTGCTGTTACACTCTCCCCCACCCCTCCCCACGGCCCTGCGTCCAGCACGGTGTCCCCAGGAACCATAAATGTTGGCCCGACCCAGCTCTGTGCGTGTGTGTGTGTGTGTGTGCCTCCAACTGGGGTTCTCTGGAAGTGGGTGGCCCCATGATGGGGTGTGGGGGCACTGGGGGCTCCCTCCCCAGCTGGGGTGCAGGGTCTGCGGCAGGCGAGGGCAGCCTGGCTTTGGGCGGCTGGAACCAGGGCCCTGGCAGATGGGCCCGTCTGGCACAGACGCAGGGACATGTGGCGCTGTCAGTGTTGCCTCCAAATGCCCCCCGGAGCGTGGGGCGGGGGGCGGCCGGGCCCTTCTCAGTCCTCTTCCTGCTTCAGGAAGGAAGGCCCCAGGTGAGGGGAGCTGGAGGGACCCGAGGAAACAGATGGCCCAGCTGGGCGTGGGAGCCTGAGACCCCTGACCCCGAGGACCGGCACTAGGGGATGGGAACGGGCCAGGCGGGCAGCTCCCAAGGCCCCACTCGCAGGGCCCTGGAAGGGAGGGTCATGAAGGGCCCTGGGGGGGCACCCCCTCCCTACTCCCTCCAGGGTTCTTTGCCAAACCCCAGGCAGCGTCCGAGTGGGCAGCTCAGCCCTGGCACCGCGGGCACCCCTCCTCTCTGGCGGGCACAAGGCGTCTGCTTCCCCCCCTCAGCTGTGCCCACCTCCTGCCAGCCGGGGGAGCCAGCTGGGAACCTTAACGCCAGGGGGGGCCCCTGGAGTCCCTGCCCCCTCCCGGGCAGTGCCAGCCGGCCCCCGCCCCCGCCCTCCAGGCCCAGTAATGGGTGTGTAATGAGTGCTGGGGGAGCGGGGGAGGGGCGGGGGATGCAGGTGCCACAGGCGCTGGCACGGGGGCCGCTAATCAGGTTTGCCAACGCCATCTGTCACCGCGCGAGCATCTGGGGCTCAAGGTGACCCTGTCACCCTCAGTTACAATTATGAGTTTGGCATCTGTATTAAAGCCCGCCCGCCGGCCAGGCGGGGGAGGGCTGGGGTGGGCAAGGAGGTGCACAGTGAGCCCCGTCCCTGGGGTCCCATTCCCAGAGGCTGTGTGGCTGCCAAGGCATGGGGCTTCTCCGTGCTTAGGGGAGTGTGCGCGCGCGTGCGTGTGTGTGTGTATGCATGTGTGCGTGCACGCTCATCTCAGCCTCCACAGTTCTGTGTCTGCGTGCGGGGCTGGAAGTTGTGGGGTTTTGTGTGTCTCTGCGGGGTGGTTGTGTGTCTCGGAGTTTGGTGGGATGGCTGGGGGCGGAGCTCAGAGAGTACGTGGGTGCACAGATGTGCGTGTCTGCACATGAGGAGCGTGCGGTGATGGTGTGTGAGGGTGTAAATGTGTGTATGCGTGGCCCTGTGTGTGTAATTGTGTGTATGTATCTGAGGGTGAGCGACGCTGTACATCTGACAGTCATAGGCTGTGTGTCTGGGGGGTGGATCTCTGTGTAGGATCCTTTCAGAGTGACCGTGTCTTTGTGTGTGTGGATAAAGGGACAGCAGGAAAAGGACAGCAGCAGCTGGGCAGGGCTGTGTGTGGTCATCCCCAGGCTCCTCTCCTATTCCTCTGATTTGTCCCTGACCTCACCAACCCTGCTGCCAGCTCCGATCTGCAGGTCTCTGAGGAGGGGTCGGGGCTCTGGGTTTTGCAGGGTGGCCTAGATTCTAGATTCTTGGAACTGGATTCCGGGCCCGGATTCTAGTTCTGAATAATAGGCTCTATATTTCTGGACTCTGGAATATGGGTTCTTGAGTCTGGATTATGGGTCATCGGACCTGGATTTTAGATTCCAGGTTCTGACTTCTTGGATCTGGACTCTAGATCTTGGTGCCATGGGACTCTAGATTGTGATGCTGGATTCTGGGATCTGGATCACGGGCTCTGAATTCTGGGTCTGACTCCCACTTCTGGACTCCTATCTCCCAGCTCTGCGAGCTCAGAGGGCCTGTCGTCTCTGCCCCACCACTCTCTGGCTCTGCAGTTTAGCTGCCTGTCATCCACCAACGGATGGGTGCAGAGACCACATATGGCCACCAGGGGCCACCCTTGGTCTAGGTTTGGTCCTAGACCAGGCGGAGCCAGGGGACCACTTGGCCCAGCCTGACCCAGCCCTTTGAAGGGGACCAGGGGTGGGGCTTCACCCATCTCCTTTTGCATCCCAATCTCTGCTGGGGACTGATGTCTGTCAGCCCGCACTGACTCAGACGTGGAGAACTGGACCCAGCGTTCCCACAGAGCCCTGAGCAGGACCGTGGCGCGAGGCGCCGGCCCAGTCAGTGTCAGATGCAGGGTTGAAGGTGCATGTGTCTGTGAGGTCGTCAATATGTGTCTGAAAACATGTGCCCAGGTGCAAGGGTGACGGTGCCCTGTGCGTCTGGGGTGGCTACATATGACAGCACTCTGGGGCAGTGTGAGCCTGTGTGATGGCGTGTGGCCACAGCTGACCATGACAAGGTCCTGAGACGGTGCTCCTATAGGGCCATGTGGTGTCACTCTAGTGTGCGATAAGAGTCCCTGTATGGGCCGGGTGCGGTGGCTCACGCCTGTAATCCTAGCACTCTCAGGAGTTTGAGACCAGCCTGAGCAAGAGCGAGACCCGGTTTCTACTATAAATAGAAAGAAATTAGTTGGACAACTAAAAAAATACAGAAAAATTAGCCGGGCATGGTGGCGCGTGCCTGTAGTCCCAGCTACCCGGGAGGCTGAGGCAGAAGGATCGCTTGAGCCCAGGAGTTAGAGGTTGCTGTGAGCTAGGCTGACGCCACAGCACCCATTCTAGCCTGGGCAACAAAGCGAGACCCGTCTCAAAAAAAAAAAAAAAAAAAAAGAGTCCCTGTATGAGTCCCTTTCATATACATGTGTCTGTGTCCACGATTATGTCACTGGGTATCTATGGGTGTATCTATAGCTGTGACTATGTCCATATGGGTGAACTGTCACTGTGTCTTCCAAGAGAGTGTGAGTCTCTGGGTGAAGGTGTCCTCAAAGGCTGGGTCTCTGTGGTGATGGTGTCTTCTCAGCAGGTGTGTGAAGATATCTAGAACAGGCTGGGTGTGGTGGCTCATGCCTGTAATCGTAGCACTTTGGGACACCGAGGCACGAAGATCACTTGAACCCAGAAGTTTGAGACCAGCCTGAGCAAGAGCAAGACCCTCTCTCTACAAAAATAAATAAATAAATATAACTTAGCCGGGTGTGGTGGCGCGTGCCTGTAGTCCCAGCTACTCGGGAGGCTGAGGCAGGACGATCGCTTGAGCCGAGGAGTTTGAGGCTGCTGTGAGCTATGATGGTACCACTATACTCTAGCCTGGCTAACAAGAGAGTGAGACCGTGTCTCAAAAAAAAAAAAAAAATCGTGGGACAGAGAATATGCCTTCTGGGAGTGTCAAACCAGAGTTGGGAGGGACCAGAGAACCTCAGAGCAGGGATCCGGGGTCCTGTCTCCAAGTTTCTCTCCTTCGTTCCATCTTGCTGTGTCTCTCTATGGCCCGGTCTCCTCCCACCCCTCTGGTTGTCTCTGTCAGGGGGTCCCTGTCCATTGCCAGGCACGGTGGGCTCTGTGGGTCTTGCTGACTGGTCCTGCCCAGGTCTCCTGCCACAGCACATCCTCTTCCGCCTCACCCCCTGGCTCTGCCTCTCACTGGTCCTCTTCCTCTGCCTGCCCTTCCTGGTGGTGTGTCTGTGTCCGTCTTGCAGTTCTCTGCCATGTCTCTGTTTCTCCCTCTTGGATTCCCCATGTCTGTCTTTCCCCAGCTCTGTCTCTGTCTGTGTCTGTCCTCTGCCTTTTTGCCAGTCTGTGTCTCAGTTGTCCCACCTCTGTCTCCTCTTACCCCTGTCTTCCCGCCCGGACTCTTTTCCTACTTGTGTTTCTCTCGATATATCTCTCCCCTTATCTCTCCATCTCTCTGTCTCTCCCCATCTCTCCCAGTCTCTCCCCATCTCTTCCTTTATCTCTGTCTCTCCCCATCTCTCCCAGTCTCTCTCCATCTCTCTCTCCCCTTTTCTCCATCTTTTCATCTCTCTTCATCTCTCCCTTTATCTCTGTCTCTCCTCATCTCTCTCAGTCTCTCTCCTCCATCTCTGTCTCTCCCCACCCAGTCTCCCTGTCTCTCTCTGTCTCTTCATCTCTTGTTTCTGCCATCTGTTCCTTTTCTCATATCTCTGTCTCTTTCAGTTTCCCCGGCTCTCCCTGTCTCTCGCCATCTCTGTCTCTCCGCATCTCAGGTCTCTGTCTCTCCCCGTCTCTGGTCTCTCCCTGTCTCTCATGGCTTCTTTTCTCCCCGTCTCTGTCTGTCTCTCCCATCTCCGTCTCTGCTGGCCCGG